TCAGATTTTAGATTTTCACCAGGAGTCAGCTATAGGGCTCACCCTAATGTCAGCATTTTCTGTCCTCTAATTGGTCAGTTAGAGCAAACTGTTTACAGCCATGTTAAGCTAGCAAAAATCTGCATTTTAGATTTGCTTTTGTTAAAAGTGTTGGTCTCGATGGCTGATGCTAAATGAGACTTCCTGCACAAAGACAGAAACAGGCATTACCAGCATCTCTGGTGAGTATGATATATCTTATTTTCATGCTTTACGTGTTATTTTATCTGATAATTAGATGCATATTGAATCTGAACTGCAGAAGATGATGTTAATATGGCAGAGCCCTGGTTATAGATTAGAGGATTATGGTTGTCTTAATTGGGCTTCTTGCTTGATTGATTATATTATACCGGGAGGTATATTCCTCCCGGTTATGCTTGTGCATGTTACATTTCATATTTGATTGCTATTAGTGGTTTCTTAATTAAAATGTGAAAGTGGTGATATCAACCCACTTGACATCGATTGTTGCAAATATGCAAGTAACCCTTTGCATTCCCTCAGTGCCAGTTATTACATTCAGTGAACAGGAACCTTTGGTAAGCTCTTGTTTCTGAGTTCAGGGGCGCCCACTGAAGGGCTAAGTACTAGACGCATCGCCCGCCACTGGTTAGAGCCACTTGCCAAGTGTAAAGCTGAAAACCAGCAAGTGCCTGGGAGTGCATCCAAGGACTCCTCGTTGCATGGCAATGGAAAAGGGTTTTTTTAGGTTTTGCTTTTCAGCTGCCGATAGTCCACGTATATTTTAAGACTTCCCTTCAGCAATGCATAGAGACTGCTGCTCTCTCTGATTAACTGAGCATTAAGAAGCTGGTTTATGGCCAAATTTTGTTGGGTCTGTATAGTCAATTTTCACAATCAAATATGGCTCCACCAAACACTTGGGGATGTGGATTCACTGCCATATTTAACCTTTGTTAAACAGCAACCAATGACAAAAGCACAGAATGTTAGAGCCTAAGGACTGAAAGTGCATAGGCATTAGCCCTCACAAAAAGTGAAGATTGACAGCATAGAACAAGCGTGAATTAGAAATGAAACCTTAATTCCCAAACACAGTTCCAAGGTGGGCATGATGCAACAAGTTTTGACACTTCTTTCCCAATGCATGTTATTGTAACTCTGTCAATACAGGCCCCACCTGAGCTGCGGCTCAACAGTTTGGTGAGAACTTTTTTTCAAAGACTGCAGAGTACTAGATGGCTGCTTAGGGACATGGGGATGAAAATGCACACTATCAGTTTTTGGCATATTGATGTGGTTGCTAGCATTCTCTGCAGACCACAGGAGTATTGCAACTTCACATCTCTGTAAGTGAAGTTGGTTAAACAAAGTAATACTCTGAGTGAGATTTTTTTTTTTTTGTCAAAAAAGAGCTCAACACATTTTGCTTTCACAAGTGGAGCAGTACGGCTATTGCCATAGTGTTCTGCTTGATTTATGCATGTAAAAAGCTTTATTATAATTCATTCAGGGAGTATTACAGATTATATGGACACTGCAATGTAAGTAGAACAGGAAAGAAAAACAGGAAAAATGAGAAAAGATGAAAGATAGAGGAGATACTTCACTCTGCTTCATCACCTGCAAAGAGAGATGTAAAAAAAGAACAGGAAAACAAGTATAATAGAAAGACAATAAAGTAGTACCTTGATACTATTGCTGAAGTATAAGTGGTATTATTTAATCTTACATGTATACAGTGGTAGCTGAAGATAAGAATATTGGCTCTCTGTATGGAATTGAATATCTAAGTGCCTGGAACCAAACACCTGTAGTTGTTTGTGAGAGTGCACTTTTGCATGTAAAGTTTATGCAAAGGGAAAATGCTCAATATTGGTTGTGAATAGCCATAGACCTGCCCCACCAGGGCACCAAGGCAAGGGCCGAGGGGCCCAAAACCCCAGACCCCCAAAGGGATCCCCAGAGCAAAGGTGCCCAAGAGGGGCCAACCCAGGCAGGAAATCTTCCCTCCGGGAAGCGGAGCGATGGCCTGTGGCCCAGACGCTGGCAGCCATCCATCCCAAAGTGGAACTGGACGCACCAGGGGCGCACCGCCCACTGGCAGGAGCCTCGGTTGGGCCCCGGGGGCCAGGCCCCACGAAGCAGCCGCCAGGAATAAGCCAGCACCCGTCCCGGGCATCCACCCCCAAACGCTGAGCACCACCAATGACATTGTGAAGTTTGCAGACGACAACACGGTGGTGGACCTCATCAGAGACGACAGCAACCAGGACTACAGAGAGGAGGTGGAGCTGCTGGTTGCCTGGGGCAAAAATAACAGCCTGATCCTGACAAGGAGAAGACAAAGGAGATCATCGTTGACTTCGGGAAGAACCGGCCTAACCACTGCTCATCACAGCTCAGCAGTAGCACCAAATTCTTGGGGATGCACATCACAGACAACCTCACCTGGACTATAAACACCAATTCACTATTCAAAAGGGCACAAAAGTGCTTGTATTTCCTGCAGAGGATGAGGAGAGCCCACCTGCCCCCACCCATCCTCATGGCGTTCTACAGAAGCACCATAGAGAGCTGTCTGACCAGCTGTCTCACTGTGTGGTGTGGAGACTGCAGTGCCTCAGACTGGAAGAAAGTAAAGAGAGTAGTGGGAACTGCAGAGAAGATCATCGGTGCTCCTCTTCCCTCCATAAAAGAAAATTGCTGCGTGTCCCGAACCTGTGATATCATTAATGACCCCTCACACCCCAACCATGGACTGTTCTCCCTGCTGCCCTCGGGGAAAAGACTTATTAACATTCAATGCAGTTCCAGCAAATTCTGCAACAGTTTCCTCCCCAATGCCACCAGACTGCTGAACTGTTAAGAAACTAAATCATGCCACAAAGTCTGCATCACACTGATAACACCAAACCAAAAATACTGCATATTTACAATTTTTTTTTTTATTTGTTGTGAGAAGGAGGAAAGATTTTAAATTTTATTCTGGATTTAACAGGAATCCAATGAAGAGAAGCTAGGATAGTAGAGATATGATCTCTCTTTTTTATTTTCATCAGAACGCTGGCTGCAGCATTACTGATAAGCTGAAGGCTTTTAACTACAGTTTGTGGACTTTCTAATAGCAAAGAATTACAATAGTCCAGCATTGTACTAACAAATGCATGGACTAGTTTCTCAGCATCACCCGTGGACCTGATATTTCTAATTTTTGCAATATTCTGCAGATGAAAGAAGGAAATTCTAGAAAACTCTTTTATATGGGATTTAAATAGCAGGCCCTGATCAAAAATAAGACAAGGTTTTTTACTTTATTATCTAACTAACTAATCAGCTTCTTTTTCAAAGACACTTTTAGGAAGCATACAGGTAAATGATGTAAGTTTAGCCGCTTATCCTGATCCCTCTGTCAGGGTTGGTTGTGGTTTGGGACCAAAATGTAGAGGCAGAGAGGCTGAGGTGATTTCTTGTGGATTTAATCAAAGGAAAAAGTAAACAAAGGCAGGGATGCAAAAATCCAACTAATAAAGAAAAGCAAACCAGAGCTATGGAGACATCTGGGGAAACCAAACACTAGGAGCCAGGGAGAGACGAGGTAGGTGGACAACAGCATGGGAGGACAGCAAAGACAAGGAACCAAAAAAGAGTGAGAGCAGAGGGAGAGCATGTATAGCTGACAGAGACAAAGGGAGGGCTAACGAGCTGACAAGCAGCAGGTGTGAGAGGAGACAACGAGGGAGCCAAGGGGAAAGGAACACACACACACACACAAACGAGGGCAACAGAGAACAGAAAAACATGAGAACTAACATAAATCTAGAAATAACAACAAAACTGGAATTAAACCAATAAAACTAGAAAACAAGGAGCAAAATAAAGAACAACTGAACCAAGACCATGACACCCTCTTGAAAAGGTTCTATTGCCTGAACACTTCTACTGCACTATTTTCAATCCTGATTCTTCTTTGTATTTTAACTCTCTCTTGTCCCTATTTAGTATGGCTCCTGCTGGACACAGGAAGAGCGGTAGTCTGGTGTATTTATTGATACTGTGTTGTGTTTTTGTCAGTAAATGGAGAACTTTGTATCTGGACCAAAAATGGAGAGGCTGAGGCAAAGATGATTTCCTGCAGATTTATTGCAGCCAAAGTATAAGTCCAAAATTAAACATCCAAAGAACATGGGAACCAGAACCGTGTTATCAGGAGGTGAGTGACAAAAACGAATGAAAACATAATATAATGACGACGATCCAGAAAAGACAAAGAGAAGGAGGGGTATATATACACGAAGGAGGAGACTAAATGGAAAAAGATTGTAGGAACAGGTTTGCAGAGAAAGAACTAGAAAAAAGCTAATTGGAAGGAAGGTGACACTGGGGGCAATGGAGACAAATTGGGAAATATAACTTAAAGATAACTTTAAATAATGAATGACAAAATAAAACTAGAGCAAAGACTAAGGGATGCTAAATATAAGATAAGTAAAAAAACAGGAACAGTAGGACTAAGAAGTACTTAAAAAAAAAGATATAACATTAACATTAAAACCAGAATAACATAAATCCAGGCCTAACTGAAAACCCAAAGTGAAAACTAAACAGAACCAAAAATCCCAGAACGGCAGATCACAAAATTTTTTAGCGTGTACTGTAATACATTTTATTTTTTTATTTATCTTATACATTTCAAATGTATTCAATTTTATTTTAGAGCCTATCAGTAAAGATCGCTGCAATACACAGTACTAAAAACATTAGAAACACAGGGCAGCAACAGCACAAATGCTTTTACAAACTTCCATGTGTAATATAATACCCAAAGCACTCAGTTCTCCTACATTCTTATGTCTGCACTTGCTACAGTAAATTTAATTAAGAGGAGTTCACTTTTAAAAAAAATGCAGGAAATCCTGTTTCAAAACACCCACCTTCAAAAAAATAAGGCCGATTCAAATCTGTGAGGTATTCTTGCTGCAGCTTGTGCAGAAATAGAAATAGAAACTTGGAGTTCAAAGAAGACACACAAAATTAAGTGCTTTGCCCATGTGTTAGTTTTTTTAACCTAACGATGGCATTATTTAAGAACTTAAAAAAAAAAAGTATATGAGATCCTAATCTTGTTGTGGACCAAACTGGTGAGTAAAATTTGTTTTAATTTGTTACTAATATACAGTTAAGTCTAAAATTGTCATACTCCTGTCCGTTTTTAATTTTAGTTAACTACTGCCAGGGCTATAAACTAATCAATCTAATTGTATGAGTTTAATTGTTCCATAGTTAAGAACATGTCAACAGATGTTAACATAAGTAAATATTTATATTTTTTGCCTCTTTTTGTCCTACAAAAAATCCATATGTGATATTTTTTCAATAAACTTTTGATTCATCACAGAAAGCATGGCTGGGCGCAGTTTGATTTACTCATGGAGAGTTTAAGCTTGCCAAGTAGTTGTTTTTGATAAACTGTGAAAAGTCTAGGTTTTACAGTGATATGTTGTGCTTTATGCTGTGTTAATTTGTCTCAAGTGTCAGAAAGCAAGAAACTTTGTTAAATGGCTAAACAACATAACTTCACTGGCCATTTTTTTAGCAAGTACAATTTTATTAAAGAAAAAAGATATAGAGGAAAGCAGGGCTTACACCCTTACCTAGTGTATCTAAACTATTCATCAGCCTTTGTGTTGTGCAATCACAACAAAATCCCTACATTTTTTTGGCCAGGTGTACATATACATGTAGGCCAGGTGTCAAAATAAATAGAAATGTAATATGAAATGTTTGTTTTCCCCATTCAGGGGATTTAATAAGACAGATTATTCTCTATACTTTTCAGATAAGATCAGGTGTTGTGTAACATCTTGAGCCCAAGCACGGAATGCTTTTGCAATGAAAGTTGTTTTAGGAACTACTTTTTTCACTATGACTTTAAGTCTTACAACATTCGAAGTGCATTCAGTGTTTCTCACTCATTCTGCAAAAACGTGAATATATAAATAAAGCAGGAAATCTCCTTTAGCTATTTAATTATGCATAGTCTTTGCAACCATAGAATGTGCTGTGTTTCATTTAGCCCTCTATTGTTTGTAAACCTACTAAATAGCCCAAATTTGGGAGTTAACTGCACCTACATGTTTTATGTGACATGCACACTTGAGGGACCTAGTAGTTAGGGTATAGAGCTATGAATTCTGAGGTTCTGTGTGTGAGACCCACTCCCAGAGACTGCCACTCTGGGTCTCTGAGCAAGACCCTTAACCCAACACTGCTCCCCGGGCGCCCCACGATGTCAGCCCACCGCTCCCCAAGGGGATGGGTTATGTGCAGAGGTAAATTATCCAGTGTAAGAGCAATAAAGTTCAATCACACCGCTACTGAAAAGACTGCTTTTGTAGATCGAGGTGACTGCTAAAATAATTCAGCTATGTGCAGTTATGGCATAATATCAGAAAGAAAATCAGATAGAAGATGCATCCTGTATCATTATAATTTAGTGTGTAACAGCAATCAGATGGAAAAGTAACACGGTATTGATGTAACATCCAGGAAAAAAATGCTTTCATAAAATGTATTTAGGAAATATTGAGTAGTTATGTCAGGTCTTAGCACTTCATACATACATACATACATACATACATACATACATACATACATACATACATACATACATACATACATGCAGGGAAAGGAAGAAGGCGCAGAGACAATTAATTTAGTTTTACCTGTGAGGAGAGTAGGAAGAGACTGCAGTGTTTACAAATCTCAGCTTTCTCCTCGCTATTTAGTAAAGTTAGAGGGGGGTCCCTAATTACACAAGCTGAGGTTGCGCTAAAGGAATAGGAAACAAGAAATACTATTCAATTTGCAGCCTCAGTGAACAGGTTAATTTGCATTCAAAAGTCTTGCGGTCAAATGGTCCGAGAATCTCCTGGTTTCAATAAGCTTGAGCAATACTTCCAGAGAGTTGACCTATACTACTTTTGCAACACCTCTCTTGAACAGTAATATGTCACACATTTTACATCATAAGAACAAACATTAAGTATCTTATACATAATTATTCCAACAAGATATTACAGTAAGAATTGAGTAAGGAGTTGCTGGTACAAGCCCTTTTAGGAGTATTTAGTATGACTTTTGATCTGAGAAAAATAAAGCTGATCTATAAATGCCTAAGAGGTTGTGGAGATATAAGTGTGCAGATAAAGTTAAGAAGACCAAGGATCCCAGCAGATTGCTTGGCCACTTCTGTGACATGGTAGAGTGATGTCATGAAATGGACGGCGCTCACAAAAGGAGGGGTGGCCTCTCATTGTAGGCAATTCTCTTCAGTATTTGGGTTGGAAGAAAAATTTTTTTTACCGGTAATATCAAATGAACAAACTCCATGAAGCCAAAGGCAACATTTAATGATGTATTTGCCTATGGTGACTTTGAAAGGATTACAACCTATTATAAGCTTTAGAATATGGCAAATGTTAACCCTTTAATAGGCCTGCAGGAGTATGTCTCTGAATATGTATTTTTAGATGGTTTTACTTGACAATTTCTTGTACATTTTTCTGACAACTCTCTGAAGTGTTAAAACTAGTTTGAAAGTTAGAGAGCAGCAAATGTGGATATTCAGGTATGGAAGGATTGAGCTTGCCTGAACCTTTCTTAAAGCGTTTTCACAGAATTCTCATTCTCAAATTCCTTTTAACAATTTACGCTCTTTCATTTGAAATTTTGTATATTGGAGGGCTTGCTTAGATACACAATGAGTAAGAAAAAAAGCCACCTTGTTCATAGCTCTAATAATCTTGCCAGCATCTGCCAGCTATAAATACACCAGCCGAGGACTAAACGCTTTTAAGGCAACACTCCTCCTATCTAACCTCTCTTTTATTCTCTTCTCATATCTCATCTGCACCAGATGTTTTTCACTGATGTTACACAATCTTCATCTTCATCTTTCTCTGTGGCTGCATCTGTTTCAGCATCTTCATACTGATTTCCAGTTTTTTAATATCTTTTTTCTAATCTGCTTGCAGATTGCTGTTAGGCCTTTATATGACTGCATTATCCCAGCCATGTCTCCTTTTTTAATGGTGCAGGATTTTTTAATGCTCAGATCATGTGCAAAATTAAATGTTAGATCCAAAATTTGGTAATTGGTATATACAGCACTCTTCAAAATATGTGGTAACCCTGGTAAATATTTGCAAACGTCTTAAAATAGATCAAATTTAGTTATAGAAGCATAATCTGTCACTGGGAATTTTATAAACCTTGTGTGAAATATTTTTTATAGTGGATACTGAAATCTGGAGCATGAGGAACAAGGTTGATAATTTTTTTAGCTGGAAGACGAAATAATTATCAGTTTTCAAGTAAAACAAACCAGATGATCTGTTCAAATTATGCTCCTATTGCCATGTCTTCATATCTTCTATACTATTCTTGGAATATATGTTGCCTCACTTTCAATTTTTCTTTTTTTTTGTACGTTATACCCAGCTGAAGCATCTATTACTGAACAATTAGTCTCGTGTACCAACTTGCAATAACAGAAAAATGGGGGCAGGTCTCGTAAACAACCAGCGAGGATGTAAAATGTTTATAATCTTAGCGTTAAAGTCACAGTGAAGGTTGGTTTTTAACATCCTGATAACTGTAGGGACAAAATAAACTGGAGTCATCACCCAGGGTTGTTTTTCACTCACAGTTGCAGTTTTAGAAAACTTTAGAAGGATTTCTCTGGCAGATGATGTAAAGTTTAAGCATGCTGCTTTTTTTTTTTTTTTTTTTTTTTTACTTATGAGGATTAATAATATTCTGCCAAACAATTGTCTTTCTGCTTTGAGGACTGGCTAAGATAGATACACTGTAGCTTTAGTTACGGCTATTAGACACGCGTTAGAGCATTTCTCCTCATGCACGCTTTGTTTAAAAGTTGCTGTTTGCATAGCTCATACAAGCTTACTTTCCAAAAGAAGGTTTGCAATTTTGATTTGCAACATTATGTCAGACTCACCGACGGCAAGTGAAAATGGGGATGAGCATGCAGGATGGCTATACGTAAACATATCACCAGAATAATTGACAATTTGGAAGACCACTATTTTATGATCCACTCGGAAAAAGAACATCCTCCACTATACCTTTATCTATAAACTGAGTCCAAAAAGTTTAGCCTGATTAGATGCAGATTAGTGGAGAAATGGATTAAAAAAAGAGTTTATATATCATTTGGATATCAATGACATTGTGGATATTAGAACCACCATTTTTTATAATCAGGCCAAAAAATATCTGCATGATCTTATTGCAACAAAGATTAATACAGAGATGAGAAAGATAACAGTATTGGGAGGGAATAGCTGATTAGAAAGTAGAAGCTGACTGAGGTTTAATCCTGGTCTGTGTTTATTCTGTGAATTTTCTCTCTCTAATATTCTATCTGAATTAGAACTACCTTTGTGATAATCCCATGCTGCCATGGCCTACATTATTTCAAAGCCTGTGTGTGTTTGTGTGTGATTCCTGGAGTGTAAAAGACTCACACAACTTGAATGGATGGTGATGATTTGGTTAATCAAAATTGATATCAGGTAGGATAAAATCTAATCTCCCAGAGAGCAGCTCAGATGCTTGCTTACTCAGATTTGAAGTGATCCTAGAAAACTCGACCTGATACATTCATGATCCTACACCATCGCCCCACTGCTGTTCATGTCCTCAGTACAATTCTGCTCTCTGGTGGTTTGGGGCAGCAGTGGTTAAATGTTGCCTTGCCGCCAGAATATTTTAAACACTCGATTGGAGTGGAATTTGCATGCTCTCACAGTGGATGTGTGGATATATCTCTTTGGGAACTGTTGCTTCGTGCCACAGTGAATGTGATTGGTTTAATGGCCCTTAGGTTGGATATAAAGATAGAGAGATCAGATGAAATTTACAATTCTTTACCATGTAAAATTGAAGAAAGAAATGTGTTTCTGACCCCCTTTCTTGATTTTTAATACATAATATAAACGAATAAGTATTAAGTGTGTGTATTATCTCCTCCANTCACAGTTGCAGTTTTAGAAAACTTTAGAAGGATTTCTCTGGCAGATGATGTAAAGTTTAAGCATGCTGCTTTTTTTTTTTTTTTTTTTTTTTACTTATGAGGATTAATAATATTCTGCCAAACAATTGTCTTTCTGCTTTGAGGACTGGCTAAGATAGATACACTGTAGCTTTAGTTACGGCTATTAGACACGCGTTAGAGCATTTCTCCTCATGCACGCTTTGTTTAAAAGTTGCTGTTTGCATAGCTCATACAAGCTTACTTTCCAAAAGAAGGTTTGCAATTTTGATTTGCAACATTATGTCAGACTCACCGACGGCAAGTGAAAATGGGGATGAGCATGCAGGATGGCTATACGTAAACATATCACCAGAATAATTGACAATTTGGAAGACCACTATTTTATGATCCACTCGGAAAAAGAACATCCTCCACTATACCTTTATCTATAAACTGAGTCCAAAAAGTTTAGCCTGATTAGATGCAGATTAGTGGAGAAATGGATTAAAAAAAGAGTTTATATATCATTTGGATATCAATGACATTGTGGATATTAGAACCACCATTTTTTATAATCAGGCCAAAAAATATCTGCATGATCTTATTGCAACAAAGATTAATACAGAGATGAGAAAGATAACAGTATTGGGAGGGAATAGCTGATTAGAAAGTAGAAGCTGACTGAGGTTTAATCCTGGTCTGTGTTTATTCTGTGAATTTTCTCTCTCTAATATTCTATCTGAATTAGAACTACCTTTGTGATAATCCCATGCTGCCATGGCCTACATTATTTCAAAGCCTGTGTGTGTTTGTGTGTGATTCCAGGAGTGTAAAAGACTCACACAACTTGAATGGATGGTGATGATTTGGTTAATCAAAATTGATATCAGGTAGGATAAAATCTAATCTCCCAGAGAGCAGCTCAGATGCTTGCTTACTCAGATTTGAAGTGATCCTAGAAAACTCGACCTGATACATTCATGATCCTACACCATCGCCCCACTGCTGTTCATGTCCTCAGTACAATTCTGCTCTCTGGTGGTTTGGGGCAGCAGTGGTTAAATGTTGCCTTGCCGCCAGAATATTTTAAACACTCGATTGGAGTGGAATTTGCATGCTCTCACAGTGGATGTGTGGATATATCTCTTTGGGAACTGTTGCTTCGTGCCACAGTGAATGTGATTGGTTTAATGGCCCTTAGGTTGGATATAAAGATAGAGAGATCAGATGAAATTTACAATTCTTTACCATGTAAAATTGAAGAAAGAAATGTGTTTCTGACCCCCTTTCTTGATCTCTAATACATAATATAAACGAATAAGTATTAAGTGTGTGTATTATCTCCTCCAAGGAGGTTACTTTTTTGGGAGAGTTTGTCTGTCTGTATACAGGATTGAAAAGTTAATGGATCAATGGATTAGTTAATGGATTAGCATCAGAGGTGTCACTCATGCCAAGGAACAATCCATTATTTTTTGGTGATGATCTAGATCATAATCTGGATACAGGATTTTTTCAAAGATTCCCCAACACTGTGAACTAGGGATTTTTGGCTGAACAAGCACTTCCTCACTAAACTAGAAGGTAGCCGCAGTGACTATTGACAGCCTCAGCAGTCTAGATGTATTTTGCGTAAAACAAAAACACAAGAAAAGAGAATGTTGTTGGTTTGTTGGATGTTTCCCAGCTTTCACACACCTGTTATCAGTTGATAGCAGATTATCAGGCTTTGCTGAACTGCAATCATCTGAATCAGGTGTGCTGAAACTTAGAAACATCCAAAACATGTAGAGCAGGGCGCCTTGAAGACCAGGGTTGAAAAACACTGCCTTAGGTTTAACCCTGACTTCTAGTACCACAAAGCTGGATTCATTCTTATTGAGGCTAGTTACCATGGCCTGAACAACAAACCTGCTGCGCGACAGGCTATCCTTCAGGATTGATCTGAATCAATCCTGAAATCAATCCAGAATCTTAAACAGTGTTTAAGATTCATTACTCATCTTAACTATTTAGATGAAAGGAAATAATTCCTGTGTTATAAAAAGGTTTAGTTTTTGTTTTTTGGGGGGGTTCTCATATGTGTTTAAAAATAAGAATAACACTGACTTCATTATATCACTTTAAAACAAAGTGCTAAATGATACTGTAGGTAAGGGAAAAAATGTAAAAAAAAAAAAAAATACTGTTTTGTTTTTTAAAAGGTTGGATGGATAAGACAATGCCAGAGCATTTAATGCCTTGTAGTTGAGCAGCAAGATCCTAAAATCAGCTTGAACATGACAAGGCAACCAGTGAAGGGTACTTGAGTGTTATGCTCATTTTTCACAGTTTTGGTTAAGATGCGAGCAGCAATATTGTGTTTTTGCCTTAGCCCAGACAGAAGAGCATCACAATTATCAATATGCAAAGGCACAAGTGCATGGATAATAATCTCTGCATTTTCAAAACTGTATAATTACTTTGGAAAGGCAGCATTTTGTATATCATTTTATTCAAAGCAATGTTTAGCAGGATATTTGCGACAGTAATACAGGGTAAAATTGGTAAAGGACCACATTTGTGTGAGCTTTAAGCAGAAACAACAATGCAATGTTGATTTTTTTATTTTTATTTATTACAAAGGTTGTGTGTCTGTCCTTTGTTTCTTATGCTCATAATGTTGTATAACATGAACCATGAACTATTTAGTATTTATGTATATACATCTATTTTCATATTTGTTTTTCCTGTCCCAATCTTCTGCATATTTAAATTTAACTGTTATATGAACTCCTCCAGAACATTTTACTTCCTCTGGATGCAAAACATACTGTACACTAACGTTTTATTTTGAATTATAGATAACAATTAGAATTTTGTTATCTATCTCATTCCAGTCATTATGGCTTTATTGCTGGGTGTAACCTTGCTGGCTTTGACTCTGTCTGCCCCCGCTATGGCCTTTTTTCCCATTGGAGGAGGGGTATCCACTCATGTCAGCATTACTGGGACTGCCCTGCTACAGAAGATTACAGAGACGTGCAAGGCGGTGGCTGAGGCCGCTGGTCATGAGTTCAAACCTACGGTAGGATGGGTGATAAGTTATGTAGGTCAGCCTTCTTCAATTTTATAGCTTGCAATTTTGAAAGTAATAGAGACCCACACACATCCTCACTCCACCTACACACTTACAGATCAAATATTAACATTTGATCTACTCAGTTCTATGTATCATTCACCTGAATTATCTTGATATCCTGAATTAATGGTGATTCATTTGTAATCTAGACCAGCAGTAATGTGCTTCAAAGGTCAATGCCCTTTTAGAATATGCAAATATGCATGTTAATGTTAGTTGCAAAAAAACTGAAATAAAGAAATATAAATAAGATATACACACACCTTACATTTGCTAATAAAGGAAAATCAAATTCTTATCATGACTGATTGTAGTATAAACACATAGTTGGGGAGATATATCCTGTAACAGACTGTTCTTTTTTTCTGCCCTAAAAGTTCAATATAAAATTACAAACCCTAGCAAATGTTTGGAATGGAAAAGGAAAGAAAATGCAAGCACCTCCTAAACACTAGATTTTGTTCATCTGGCTCGTTGTGTTGTTTTCATTCAGTCTCTAAAATATTTCCGTTTTTTCTTCCTGTTCTGAACTTCAGGGTTCTTCTCCAGGGGAGTTGGTCCAAGCCTGTCTGGGTCCCACGGCACCTGGAGATGTTTCTGGTGCTAAATTCCAATCGGCTCTGCAAGAGATCTACACCCAGAATGGTCTTGTCGACCGAGACTTTGTAAACAGGTAAAGTGGAAAACGTCTATAAAAGAGTGGGATAAAAATAAAGATTTAACCATTACATACAATATTTTGATTTGCATATTTCTGCAAATTCTAGTGCTCCACATCACTTCAACTCTGAGGCTTTCTTAGAGGGACGTGGACTAATTACTGAGGGCATGGTTGCCATTAAGGCTAACATTGGCAAGGAGAATTTCAAGGCTGCCAGGGAAACATTGGGCAGAGTCCTGCATACGTTACAGGTCAGACAGGAAAATAAAACTATAAAAAAAAAAAACACAAAAGGGAAAATTAAAGATAGCATACCTCTGATAACTTAAAATATACAAAAGCAATGTGTACAAAAACCTCAAACAAGTATATATATATATATATATATATATATATATATATATATATAAAGATAGCATACCTCTGATAACTTAAAATATACAAAAGGAATGTGTACAAAAACCCCAAACAAGTAAAGCAAGTAAGTTTGTTACAACCAACTATATATATATATATATATATATATATATATATATATATATATATATAT